TGTACACTAAATGGCTAATCTCCACTAATGGCATCTGCCGGAAGACAATATGATGGGAAAGGTACAGTATTTGTCTTCCCTTTATTTTACTGGTGGATATAGCACCTTTCCTGACAACGCTTAAGTGCCACCATAGCGGTTAACAAGATCCTTTACTGTTATTTTCTGCAATTTCATTCTTTTACCGTTGTTAATTTTCGGTGAGATGAACGAGCGCGAGGGTTTTTAATAGCCATGGCTAATTGCCTTAACAAAATCTTGTTATATTTATGTTGTCATCGCAGTTTTGTTATTTTCACCTTTCCGTTTTGAAGTAATTGCACAGATTTGTTATCCAGCGTATAACGACTGCCCGGTTAAGTTAATTGTACTCTGACAGTATTCCTTTTACTCACTGTTCCAGCCTGATTTAAAGTATGAAACTTCATAACGAATTATTAATTTATGACGATATGAACGTTGACTTATGTTCAGACATTTTTATTGTTTCTATAAGACTAATCAAGTTTGCATAACGTTAAATCGCATTGCAGGGTCGCCATATGGGTATAGGAAAGAGGAGAGGAACTGCAAACGCGAGAATGCCGAGTAAGGTGCTATGGATGCGGAGGATGCGAGTGCTGCGGCGCCTTTTAAAAAAGTATCGCCAGGCGAAAAAAATTGACAAGCATCTGTAAGCACTGGCATCTGTAATATTTCGATTTTGCAATTTTTACACCCTTTTCTTGTTTCAGCTACCATGATTTGTACCTGAAAGCCAAGGGTAATACGTTTAAAAATAAGCGTGTTCTCATGGAGTACATTTTCAAGAAAAAATCAGAAAAACAGAGGGCCAAGGCCATAGCGTATGTTCTTTTAGTAACTGTTTTTTGTTGTTCTGGCATTCGCAATTTTAGTGACCAAGCAGAGACCCGTCGCCAACGCAATAAAGAGGCAAGGAAAAGAAGAGAAGAACGACATGAGCAGAAGAAGAAGGAGATCTTGAGGAAGATCTCAGAATCCGAAAAGAAGGAAGAGAAGCCAGAAAAAGAGGAAAGCAAATGAAACCTTTAATAACGCTGGATTCATTGCACTTTGATCGATCGGTATTCTTAACCGTGCAGTAAGTAACATTGGCTGAATTGGCCTCTGAATTCTGGTTTTCCTGTTTCTGTGAAATACAAGAATTTTTGAAAACTATATTGTTTGTAAGTCAGTTTCGGCTTCCAAGCATGATATTGAGGGCAGGTATAGACTAAAACAAACGATCATACAACAGAACTAAGTTTATGGGGAGAAGTGCATTTTGCTTACTCGTGAGTATTTGTCGTTATGAGCCCTCTGTAACTTTCGACAAAACGAGACAGTGAGGATAAGGAGCTGCATCCTTTTTATCTGCTACATCTTTGAAGTATTTCTTATAAAATAAGTATACAAAATCTGAATGAAATAAGGGTACGTTGAGAACGAAAACGGAAAGAAGAATGGAGCATTACGGTCATCAATTATCTCAGAACGGGACCCCAGTGCATAATGCCATTAGCGTTAGTCTTCACGTGAAATGATTCCATCT